CAGGCGCCCCCGAAAAAACAATTTTTTTAAGTTGCAAAGAACTCAATGGCCTACACTGCAGGGAATAGAGTAGTGTTGTTAGTGATTACTAAACAAATAAGCAGCGACAAGAAAATACCATAACAATAATAAACAAACAAAATACAACAGACCTTGGTGAGGAAGAGGGTGGAAGAATCTGATACCAGGGCTGTTACCTATAGCGTCCAGTTTTTAATCACAAAATTAAGAGACATGCAAAGAAAGAGGAATGTATACCACATATACAGAAAAAAAAAGTCAACAAAACATCCTGAAGGGGGCCTAGATTTTGGTCTTAGTAGACAAAGCCTGTATTTAAGGAAACTATGCCTAAAAATTTAAAGGAAAGTATGCTACAATGTCTCATCAAATAGAGAATATCAACAGAGATAGAAATTATTTTAAAAAACAAATTCTGGAGTTTAAAAGTACAGTAAGTGAAATAAAAAATTCAGTAGAGTGGCTCAACAACAAATATGGGAGGGTAAAAGAAAGAATCAGCCAACAAGAAGATCAATCAATGGAGAAATCCACTCTGGGGAACAGAAGGGAAAAAGAGTAAAATAAAATAAATAGAGCCGAGTCACCCGGGGAATACTATTGTTGCAGGATTTTTTTTTTTTTACCTCAATACCTGAGTTCGTTATCTTGCCTTCGTTATTTTGCTGCTTTGAAGAATGAAGAAGCAAACACAAAATAAGCATCAGGCAAAAGCTTATTAGAGTTTAAGATCAGAAAGGAAGAACAGTATGAAAGCTCTCTTCACAGAAAGGGGGCATTTGAAAGTGAATAGCCCTGACTATAGGCAAGTGACTTTGTTTTATAAGGTTCTGGTTGCCTCCCCTTGTTTCTTTTCAGGTTCTACCCTTACTGGCTTGATAACTCTAGGTTCTGGGTTGTCCATTCCTGATTGGCTCAATTGCATCATATGAGGGATAGTCTATGGCCATATCATTCCTTGTGGGTCATACCTTTTATGGTCTACTTATTTTTAGTTAGGTCTTTAGTCAAATTCCTGAGGGACACCTGAGAGGGAGTAGGTGGTATCTGTGATATTCTTAAGAGGCACCTAACCCAGAAGTGGTTTGCTGTGATCAGACACTCCTAGCATTGTTCTAAAATATGTTTATCCCCACCCAGGGACCACAGGTCCTAATCTTTCCCTCTCTGGCTACTGAATCCTCTCTTTTCCTATCACACAATCGAGCATGAGATATGCATGAGAGTAATAATGAAAAGGGACAGAAAAAAAATATCCATGAGATCTATACCTATACATACCATGATTAAATTGATGAAAGTCTATCATGTATCTAGGTATGGATCTCACTGTATTTATTCTAGAGAAATTAGGAAAAGAACAGTAAACCAAACTCAAAGCAAGCAGAAGGAATAATAAAGATTACAGTGGAAAAAAATGAAATACAGAAAAGCAATAAACAGAATCAATGAAACCAAAAGTTGGTTTTTTAAAGATCAATAAAACTGATAAACTTTTAACTAGGCTGACCAAGAAAAAAAGAGAAGACTCAAATTACTGAACTTAAAAATAAAAGAAGGGGGAAGCCTAGGTGGCTTAGTGGGTTAAGTGTCTGACTTCAGCTCACATCGTGATCTTGTGGTTTCTGAGTTCAAGCCCCACATCTGGCTCTCTGCTGTCAGTGCAGAGCCTGCTTTGGATCCTGTCTCCCTCTCTCTCTGCCCGTCTCCTGCACTCTTGCTCTCTCTCTTTCAAAAATAAACATTTTTTAAAAATGAAAAAAAGGACATCACTACAAATCTTCCAGAAATATAAAGGTTTATAAGAGAATACAATTAACAACTGTATGCTGACAATTAGATTAATTTAGGTGAAAGGGTCAGAGTTCTATAAAATTACAAACTCTGACTTAAGAGAAAATTTTAATGGACCTATAATAACCAAAGAGATTAAAATAGTATTTTTATTTTATTTATTTATTTATTTTACAAATAGTTTATTGTCAAGTTGGTTTCCATATAACACCCAGTGCTTATCCCCACAAGTGCCCTCCTCCATGCCCATCTTGAAATAGTATTTTTAAAACTTCCAACATAGAAAACCAAGGCCCAGATGGCTTTACTGTTTAATTCTACCAAACATTTAAGGAAGAGTTAATACCAATCTTTTATAAATCTTTCTACCTCAAACAAACAGGATACAAAAAATGGTAAAAGACTTGAATTGGCACTTCACCAAAGAGGATATATGGATCACAAATAGGCACAAGAAAAAAATGTTCAACATCACTAACCATTAGAGAAATGAAAATTAAAACAACTGTTATACCACCACATACTTATTAGATCAGCTAAACAAAAGAAAGAATATTGATAATACCAAATGTTAAAGAACATCCAGAGAAACTGGAAGTCTCATATACTGTTCATGGGAATAGAAAATGATACAGCTGTTTGGGAAAACAGTTTCACAGTTTCTTAAAAACTTTCAGTATATATACCATATGACTCAGCAATCTTCTGAGTATTTTATCCAAGTGAAGTGAATAGGTATATACACTCCAAAAGCTATACATGAATATTTACAGTAGCAGTTTCATTTGTAAAACCCAATACTGGAAACAACCCAAGTGTCTTTCAACAGGTCAATGGATAATCAAGCTGTGCTACATCCATACCTTAGGCATATTACTCAGCAATAAAAAGGAACAAGCAATTATAACATAAAATAATTTAAAGAATCTCAAGGAGAATTTTCTGAGTCAAAAAAAAAAAAAAAAGCCAGTCTCAAAAGGCTTGTATTTACCATAAGATCCCATGCTTCTGGCTATAGCTGATTAGAAAGAAGTGATAGGGTATAAGCCTGACAATGAGCTTTTCTGATTGTAATGCAAGGGCCTGACATTAAGCTTTTGATTTCCAAGGCATCCACTTCAAAGATATCTGTTTCTAATAAACAGATTGCCAGCTATTCAACTAGATAAAAACTCTGGCTACCCACCCAAGAAGTTCCCCTTTTAGTAAGCCCTGGTTAACCTAGGTAACTAAACATGTGTGTCTCTGCTTTTTCCTTTTTTGTGCTTTAATTCCTGCTCTTTATGTTCTAAATTCACCAATAAAAAGTGAACCTGCAAAATCCTCAGCACCCCATCCTCAACCCCAATAAAAGCAGAACTTGGCTCTGTTTGTATGCTCACTCACTTGTACCCCCAACCTCTCTCTTTCCCCATGACCCCTCACTGGGTGGACCCCAGACATGCCATGTACCCTCCAGGACCTGTGAATAATAAACCTTGCTTTTTCAAAGTTCCCTGGTAGTTGTTGCTGAGGTGTGTCTTGCAATCGTAAGAACCACAAGATCCAATCCAGTCACAATACTGGCTCCAGTCAGGAGAAAATGTCTGGGGGGCTCCCCACAAGTTGTATAGGGCAAGGTGAGTGTCCCCAGGCTAGGGACAAGTTCCTAGCCAAGAACATCACTATCAATAGTCTGAGACACAAAACAGGGAGACAACTGGTTGGAGAAGAGCCCAACAATAGGCCAGGCCATGGCCTCTGACCCATTCCTTGGCATGAAAAAGATAAACAGGGTGAGTCAATTTTCTATCTCTGGAATCTGACAAAGCCCAGTTAAATAGGGATTGGAAACTGAAAGATACTTTGGATCATAAGAAATCAAAGACATGTGTAAATCAAAGTTCTGGGGAAACAAAAACTACATAAAAAACACAAGTCATTTAAGAACAAAACAGAGTAAAATAAGGTATAGCAATTCATGGTAGAGCATTAGACTGAAAGTCCATATGCTTCTGCTATTAAACTCCCAAATCTGCCCTCAATCTAAGTCTACACTTCAGTTCTATCTTTATGAGGATCATTAAAGTAGAGTTCCTGTTCTTGAGTTCTATATTAGTTTTCTACTGTTGCTGTAACTGATTACAGCTTAGTGGCTAACATTTATACCAAGACAACACAAATTTATTATCTTATAGTTCCATAGGTTAGAAGTCCAGCATGGGTCTCGGTGGACTATAATCTCGGTGTTGGAAGGGCTGCATTCCTTATGGAGGCTCTAGAGCCAATTTGTTCCCCAGCCTTTTTCAGCTTCTAAGGGCAGCCTGAATTCCTTGCTTTGTGGCATTCTTCCTCCATCTTCAAAGTCAGCAATACTGCATCTGTCTGACACAGCTTCCCTCCTCACATCTTTTCTCTGACCCTCTCTTCTGCCTCCCTCTTCTACTTTAAAGGACCCTTGTGATTATACTGCGGCTACCTTGATAATCCAGGATAATCTCCCTATTTTAAAGTCATTTGATTAGCAACCTTAATTTCATCTACGACCTCCATTCCCTTTTGTCATATAACTAAACATAGTCACGGGTTCCAAGAATTTGCACAAGGACATGTTTAGGGGCCATTATTCTGTCTACCACAAATTCTGTTGAGATCTCACATATATCCTTATATATTGAGGGGGACCTCAACCTCCACCTTGACTATGCACATGTAACCAAGGAAGTCTGACTTCTTTATTAGTTAAGTAGAAGCTGATCCTTGTTTTGTAAATCAAAGAAGTACATTTTTCTAATATCCTCATAAATAATAAACAAAGATCTCTTACATTACATAGAACATGACTGTATTTTTAAGATTACCTTTGTTAGCAACAAATCCTCAACAAATTCAAAATGCTAGACCCACAGTTCTCACTATCTGCTAACATTTCAGAAACTATTTGGGGGATTGAAATTAGGCTTCCAGGTGTTTGTTTTCCAAATAAAAACATAAAACACACTCATCTGCTCTCCAAAATCTATCATCTATCCTCACCATTATTTCATAAAAGAACACTTAATACCAAAAAGGTAGAAAAGAATCTCAGGATAATGTGCACTTCTTTATAGCATCTAAGCTTAATAAGAAATAAACTTTATATCATTATATTTCTATTTTGCTGATCTTTCACCAGTTTTTAAAAACCACTTTCAGGACTGATTTACCTGTAGCAACTGCGACACTGTCCATATGTGTCAAGGACTGGGGGCGGCTGCGAAGTTTGCTTTTGAAAGATCTTGGTCTACGTGGTGATGAAGGTGGCAGAGGAACCTCTGATGATTGGATTTTGCTATCTTTAATTGCCCGAAGGCGTTCATAGAGCTCCTGCAGCTCCTTATTCTGCTGGGTTTGAAGATTTACCACCTCCTGAATATGTCTAAATGAAAATAATGCAGAAAGCATTTTAATAGCATTGACAGCATACAGATAAGCCAAGAAACTCTATGCCAAATACAAGTAACATTTAGAAAGGAATTTAGAGGGGCGCCTGGGTGGCTCAGTTGGTTAAGTGTCCAACTTCGGCTCAGGTCATGATCTCACAGTTCGTGGGTTCGAGCCCTGTGTTGGGCTCTGTGCTGACAGCTAGCTCAGAGCTTGGAGCCTGTTTCAGATTCTGTGTGTCCCTCTCTCTCTGACCCTCCCCTGCTCACGCTGTCTCTCTCTCAGAAATAAATAAAATTTTTTAAAAAAGGAATTTAGATTAAGAATGTAAAAATACAGAATATTCACAATTTTAGGATGGGATATGCTTTCCTAAGCACAACATTAAATTAATCAGACATTAAGAAAAAGTAAACTGATGTGCCTAGGTGGCTCAGCTGGTTAAACGTCTGACTCTTGATTTCAGCTCAGGTCATCTCATGATTCATGAGATCCAGCTGCACCTCAGGCTCTGTGCTAATGGGTGGGGGGTTACCGCTTGGGATTTTCTCTCTCCCTCCCTCTTGGGTGCTTTCTCTCTCTCTCTCAAAATAAATTTTAAAACCTGTGAAATGATTTTTAAAAAATTGAAGTAAATAAATTGACAAGAAAAAAATTTTAAAACTTCAATATAGTGAAAGACAATAAAATAAAATTTAAAGTCACACAGTATTGATAATATGAACCTTTACTTTATTATATGTTCCAAGTATAAATAAGAAAATATTTGGAACATATAGTAAACGGTTCATAGTCAGAATATACAAATAGTTCCTAAAACTCAATAAGGAAAAAAAAGAACCTAATAGGAAAAGGGGGAAAGAATATGAGAAGGTGACTCCAAAGAAGAGGAAATACAAGTAGCCAATAAATATGAGATGATGTACAACTTCACTATTAAGTAGGAGAATACAATTATTTTTTAAGAAATATTTTTAATTCATCTGACTGGAATAAAATGAAAAGGTTCAATAATATCCAGTCTAATGTTGGGGTGCCTGGGTGGCTCAATTGGTTAAGAAGAAATGGGAAGACAGGCACTCATATATTTTTTAAAGTAATCTCTATAACCAATGTGGGGCTTGAATGCATGATCATGACAGAGCCAGCAGCAAGGCACCTCACTTTCATATATTTTTAATTGGTGTATAAAATGGTACAGCTACCGTGGACAACAATTTTAGCACTATCTATCAATTTCAAGTGCACATACTTTTAAACCCAGAAATTCTATTTTGGGGCATCTATCCTACAAAAAGTACTCACATAAGTAAAAATATAAGGATGTTTACTTTGTTTACTTCAACAAAATATTATTGTTTTTTAATATTTCAAATTTTATTTAAATTGTTTACATAAGAAAAACATGGAATAAAAGTATCTATTAATGAGGAATTAAATAAACTTTAAATGGCTATTCTAATGTATGGAACAAAGACTATTTGTGCAAGTGTGTGTGTGTGTGTGTGTGTGTGTGTGTGTGTATGCAACAATGTTAAGTAAAAAAATTTTAGAATAACATGTATGACCTCACTTTTATAAAAAGCAAAAAGTATGTATTTGTAAATGCACCGAAAAATGAAAGGCCAGATACAAACCAAACAGTTCACAGTGGTTGCCTCTGAGAAATGAGATTAGGGCATGAGAAGTAAGAGACTGTTTTGTGTGCTTTATTACTGTTGCGTTATTATGATTTATATTAAAATATATATATTTGGTCTTAATCCCTGTTCCTGATACCCAGCTCCTAAAACTCTTATAATTTCCTAAGCTATAAAGAGCAGTAGGAGAATCTTTCATTTTAATATTTGGTCTGTTGTTCTCAAATAGTTCCAGTTCCTAAAATAGCTCCAGAGTGATAAAGGTGAATGGAATCTTATTTATATCAAGCCCCTTGGAATCACACCTGAGTTTATAGTAATGACCTGACTTTTGAAAAGCCACTAAGGATGGAGGCTGTTTGCCAGGAGAACGAACTCTGTGATTACAGTGGGACTTTCAGCCCCTCCCACTATACCTCTGGGGAGGGGACAGATGCTAGAGGCTGAATTTATTAATTGCCAGTGGTCAATGATTTAATCAACCATGCCTACCATAATGAAGCTTCCATAAAAATCCATGAACTATAGGGTTTGGAGAGTTTCCATGTTGATAAACACATGCAGATTCCAGGAAAGTGGCACTCCCAAGAGGGTATGGAAGCTCCATGCCCCTTTCCCTACACCTTGCCATCTGATATTCCTCAGTTGTGTCCTTTTCTAATAAATTGATAATCTAGTAAGTAAACTGTTCTGAGTTCTGTAAGCTGCTCTAGTAAATTAATCAAACCCAAGGAAGGGTTTGTGGGAGCCTTTGATTTATAACAGGTTGGTCAGAAGCATAGGTAATACTACCTGGACTTAGGATTGGCATCTGTGGGACTGAGACCTTAACCTGTGAGATCTGATGCTATCTTTGCAGTTCTCAATCATCAAAAATGTTCAATCATTACAATGTCACCAATTGTAAATTATCTATCTGTCAAATACTTTGTCCTATAAAACTTGGAGCACCCAGATTTGTGACAAAAGAGAAACAATCCTTACTTTTCTCGCAGTCTTTGAAGCTCCACCTTCAAATCCTCATCCTCTATTTCTGAGTCATCATCACTGCTCATTGGAGAAGATGGTGAATAGAAGAGTGAGCTCTGTGTTTGAGCACAGGCTTTTTGTTCACGGAATGGTAAGCATTGATCACTCATTGAACCAGTCTTTGCCACTGACTTTCCTCTGTCAGCAAGAGTGGCTGAAAATTCACTATCAGAGCTAGGCTGTTTCCCAGCAGTAAATATCTCTTTAAGCAACAGTTCAGGTCCAGAATGCATACTACTTCCCATGGCTGAGTTTTCATCCAGTTCCTTTTCTGGGGTCATCGAAGATACATCAGTCTCACAAGCTATGTTGAAAGATGAGAAGTTGTCACCTTGTTTGGCAATTCTTTTATCTTCTTTAAAGGTTTCATGATGACCTTGTAACTTCTGAGAAGAAAGTGAAGTTTGTGGATTGCGCATGGCAGGTTCCATTTCCTCTAACTGAGACTTTGCTATTTCGGTAAAGGCTAGAACCTCTTCACTAGAATGGGTTGTCATTTTATTGAATGCTGGTATGTGTTCTATTCCAAAAGATGTGACTTTCACTGCCCGCTGCTGAGGAACTGTAATCACCTGAGATACAAAAAGGCAAAAGTGGCTGGCTCAAACCAAAGAGTAAACCCACAAAGAAATTCAATATCAAAATATGGCACAGACAAGTGGATGGTGTGCTGTGATGTATATCTATCGATAATACCCAAACAAAAAGCACCATCTGGAATTCCCATATTCAAAGTCTTTCAAGTGGGCCCCTTGGGTAAAGAAAATTGACCATATTGCTCAAACAAAATTCCACAATTTAAAAAATTCAATAATTCAAGTTGCTGAGATTCTAAAGAATAAGAAATTACATTTATAAAAAAGATGACCCAATTACCCACCAAAAAATGATGACTCATTTCTGTGCTCTTTTCCAGCTACAAAAATCCCCATTTCTTTAGACTTGCCTTTACTGGGAGGCTACAAAAGGTGAAGGGATGTGTATTAAATATGACAATAATCTACAGTGAAAATAAGTATCATCTAAATACCAAGATCTTCAATGTATTACCTTTTACAATGCACTTGTAGATAAAGATTCAACCAAAGACACAAACCTGGAACCGACCCCGCTGAAATGATCCACTCATCACTTTGCATCTACTCAAAGCCCTAGTATCAGCTGTGGACTCTCCTGTCAGAGGAATGGGATCAGGAGCAATTGCTGATCTCATATCTTCTGTTTCCACTGTAAGTTTTGCAAAATTGTAAGCAGAAAAGAGAAAATTATTCGTTAAGACTAAATTTGTTTATATTACCCAAAATGAAGAAAAGTAGAAAAGCTTAACCCCTGCTAGATAATTAAAAAGTGTTAATGTAATAAGCAACATTGTAGAAGTCCCTAACTCAAAATCAGACATTGTAAGATTTATCCCGAGACTTAGTATCTATGTGAAATGAATAACTGTAAAACCAAATTAGTTACAAAAGGAAAAATAGAATGGCAATGACATTAATGGGACATGTCACATACATGGGCTATGTGGAAAAAGTGGTAAGATTTGTATATGGACAAACAAACAAACGAAAAAAACAAAACAAAACAAAACAGAAGTAAATGAAAAGTGATGTTACCTAGTCTATGTCCCTGACTGTAAGCACACTACCTTGACGGACTTTTGATCTCTTGAAAAAGCTGGTTGACTGCCGTAGCCTGTATGCCCAGCTTTTTAATTTGCGAGTCCAGGATTTCTTGCTAATAGGATTTTTGAGACTAGGACAAGTAAAGCTTAGGCCAAAATATCCACCTCCTGTCTGCAGATGAATGGCTCCACCGCTTGACACAGCAGCAGGGTAGGCCTCTGGATCCCATGGAAGTGAAGCATCTGGAGACATCTCCTAATGGAGACAAGAAGAGAAAAACCACAATGGTAATAATTTAGACATGGTGAAGCAGTTGCTTATACCACTGGAGTTTCTTGCAAGGACTAATCAGTAATCAAAAATAGAATGCTATGTATACTTGCATTAATAGTACCATATCACACTGAATCTGAAGTATTTAACTTACAGGAATTAATCCTTCCCCTTTCTTTAAAAATATTATTTAGAATTAGGATAAATAAAAGAGCAGAATATAAATCTTCCAGCCTAGAACATTTTTCATTATAACAACTTTGAAAACTGAAAATTAAATTTGTTTCCTTCATATGCTTCATTTACTAAAAAAGTTTACTGAAACCCTATACTCTTAAAAGGAAACTTTTCATTTATGCTCATATTATTTAACAGAGTTAAAGATGTCTAATACACATGATAACATAGAAAAACAAGATATCTAGGTATTTAGATTTCTAGAGAAATATTATCAAATCAAATTTCTTAACTTTTATGTAAGCATAAAATTATTTCAAATTCTTGCTCTAAAAATTATTAATATCAGACTATAGCTGGCTATAAAATCAGTCTTTCCTCTTCTTGTCCTCCCATCCCTCCTACCAAAATGCCAGAATACAACTCATTGTATTTTCAATGAGTACTTTAAAAATAAATCCTCTATAGTAATATAAAAATGCACAATCACAAATACTTCAGGAAATATGAAAATTGTCTCTACTAATATAGAAAATTAAATGAGTATTTAAAAAGTTCAAAGAATTGGATTCAGCATTTGTCTGCAAGAAAGATAGCTTAAGTTGCACTAAATACACTGGAGTCTTCTTTTTTTTTTTTTTTTACAAATAGTTTATTGTCAAATTAGTTTCCACATTAACACCCAGTGCTCATCCCCACAAGTGTCTTCCTCCATGCCCATCACCCCTCCCCCCCACATCCATCAGTCCTCAGTTTTTGTCAGCATTCAAGAGTCTCTCATGGTTTGCCTCTCTCCCTTTCCCCCACCACTTCCCCCCTTCTTCTCCCCCTTGTTCCTCAGTTAAGTTCCTCCTAATTCTCCTATACATGCAAACATAGGGTATCTGTCCTTCTCTGCCTGACTTATTTCGCTCAGCATAACACCCTCAAGGTCCATCCATGTTGCTACACATGGCCAGATTTCATTCTTTCTCATTGCCATGTAGTATTCCATGGTATAGATAAACCACATTTTCTTGATCCATTCGTCCGTTGATGGACACTTAGGCTCTTTCCATGTTTTAGCTATTGTGGAGAGTGCTGCTATGAACATTGGGGTACATGTGCTCCTATGCATCAGCATTTCTGTATCCCTTGGGTAAATTCCTAGCAATTACACTGGAGTCTTAAATCAGCATTATTAACACTTAGTGCAAGTCAACAGTTATTAAAATTCTGAACAACCAGTTCTCATTTTCCAAAGCCCCATTTTGGACTAGTAATAATGCTACTTTCTTAAAGAGAAAAAAAAAACCCTCTCAGTAATATTATAATTTAGAAAATGTTGCACTGGTCCCACTGTAATTACAGAAAAATTTTAATAAGTAATAACTGGATCAAGATGATAAATTAAATACAAGTTCTAGCCTACCTTACCAATCCAAATTCATAGATACAACAGAAAAAAAAGATACAGACACATGCATATATGACTAAAGGAGGAAAAAGCAGCCCATGACACATGCAGGAACTGTTTCAAAATACTGTAAACTTGGGTGACAGATACGGACAGTAGAAGAGAGCCCTGGCCAACCTAAAGGAAGAGTGGTTGACTAGAATGCTTACAAAGCTATACCCAATCTGTCTCCTATCTGCCTCCTAACATCATCTCACAACGCTCTCCTACTTATTAGATTTCTTTTGGTTCCTTGAATAGGTCTCCACCTGTGAATGTCACCACCACACACAAGTTCTTCCCTGACCACCCTCTACTAAAGTAATCCCCTATTCATTCCGTCATAACCCTTTATTTGTTTAGGGTCTATCTTCCCCTACCACAATTAGAGGTCCACAAAAAAGAGATCTTGACTTACTCACTGAATGGGAGAGTAAACTGGTTGGGGTACTAAAGAAAGAACAGCCAGGCAGTTCTCTTTCCCTCCTGACCTCCACAGCAAGCAAAAGATGGGAGAGGCATCTGCTCCCAAATAAGAGTAGTGAGAGGCAAATGTTTGTGGCCATGAGAAAGATCAGCAATGGAGGAAGGAGACAACATCCAGGAGGAAGGGGAAGCCCTTCTACCTTTGAAGACTATTATACCACCCTCCAGTCAGCATTTAGAGAAAAGGTATAATATCCGGAGCCAAGAAGCCTGTCCCATGCCTCTCCCACAATTACTGGAGGAAAGCTACAGCAATTTTATATAACATTTAGAGAGACAAACAAGGAATCTTACATAGGGAAAAGAAAATATGAGTACACAACTAAGAATCACCAAACACTTATGGGAAATCAATACTGTAAGAAAACACTAGGGATGGCTGGCTGGCTCAGGTTGTTAGAATGTGTGACTCTTGATCTCAGGGTCATGAGTTCAGGCCCCACAATGGGTGTAGAGCCTACCTAAAATGAATAAGTAAATAAAAAGTTAACCCACTAAATTCAATAAACAGAAGAATGGCCAAGGAAATAGCATTAATAACAGAATAAGACTGTAGTATCTCCAGAAAGATGTGTGAATATACTACAACCATAAGAAAAAGAATGAACTACAGTTACTGGAAATTAAAAACATGATCCCTTACATTAAAAAAAAGTTGAATAAAAAGTCTGGAAACAGCATAAAAAATTGAGAAATTCTGCCAGTACAAAAAGCAAAAGGACAAAGAGATGGAAAGTATTCAATGGAAAGATAATAGATAAGAAAAACAGGAAATGAAGAAATAAAACTATTTTTCACAGATGATATGATCTTATATATTATAAAGAAAATTCTAAATAATATACTCAGCAAAATTGAAGGTACAACATCAACACTTAAAAATTAGTTGTATTTCTGGGGCACCTGGGTGACTCAGTCGATTAAACGTCCGACTCTTGGTTTCGATTCAGGTCATGATCTCACAGTTCATGAGTTTGAGCCCCGCATCAGGCTCTGCACAGTGATAGTTGCAGAGCCTGCTTGGGATTCTCTCTTTCTCTCTGCCCCTCCCCCACCTGCTCTCTCTCTCTCAAAATAAATAAATGAAGAAATTTAAAAATTAGTTGTATTTCTACAAACTAGCAATGAAAAATCTTAAAAGGAAGCTATGAAAACAATTCCATTTAAAAATAACAACAGAAGATATGGAAACCAACTTGACAATAAACTATTTTAAAAAAACAACAAAAGAATAACAATAGTGCTGAAACAACTGGAGAGTCACATGCAAAAGAATGGAGTTGAACCATTATTACATACCATATACAAAAATTAACTCAAAATGATCCTACCATGTATACTTAATTAATCAAGTATGAAGCAAAATAAAGACATTTTTGGACACTGAAAAAAAAAAAACAAATTAGTCACCCATCTTAATAATAAGATACTACTCAGAAGCATTTCAGAGGGGAAAAAAGAAATTCTAGGACACCAGAAACAGTAGCATGTAAGTTTGATCCAGATGTAGCAATGGACACTTAAAATAAAAGATTTCATTTGATCTTGACACTTGAGTATCTTCTGAGGAAAAAAGTTTAAAATTATTAAATTATATTTCATTTTTTAGGATTCTAATATTTCATGATCATAGGATAACACATATAATCATAACATAAATGTTGTTTATTGATCGTCAGTTCCTCAAATCAACCTACAAAGTACAACCAAGTGTTACAGAAAAAAAATGTAGATGTTCTAAACTTTGCCAATGTTAAAAATACAAGTAAGAAAAATCGAGAGGTGTACGGGAAAGAAGAAAAAGGGAAAATATTGTAATTTCTTCACCCTTCATAGCAGTGAATTAACAGGTATTGTTGAAAATTATTAAATAAAAAAATAGATAAGTATATTATTTACAAGTTATTAATGGCAATGACCTCAAGAATTAAAACCAGGACCTTAACAGTGTCTGGGGAAGGGAATGGAGTATAAGAAGGTGTTAACATAAATTACTTTTAATTTTACCTCCTTCTGAATTGCTTTCTTGTTTATATATTAACTGCATAATTTAAAATTTCTAGTTTACAAAAATATAAACATTTGTTATATCTATTAATGGAATATTATGCTATTGTTAAAAGAAATGTGAAATGAGGGGCGCCTTCAGTCGGCTAAGCGTCTGACTTTGGCTCAGGTCATGATCTCATGGTTCGAGGGTTTGAGCCCCACGTCGGGCTCTGTGCTGACAGCTAGTTCAGAGCCTGGAGCCTGTTTCAGATTCTGTATCTCCCTCACTCTCTGACCCTCCTCTGCTCATGCTGCCTCTCTGTCTCTTTCAGAAATAAATAAAACATTAAAAAAAAAAGTGACATGGAACTCTGTGTACTAACACAGATAAATGTTCAAAATTGAAAAAAATTCAGGACAGCACATATATGAAAGAAATATATGTATATAAACATATACCATATATTTATATATTTGTAAATATATAACAAAGAAATATATAAATATTTGCAAGTTAATTAAAACAATGTAAAGGTTCATTAACAGCTATGTCTATGGGTTCGGAAGTGGGATGGATTTTACTTTATATACATGCATATGCTACTTATATAATAATAATAAAGAGATACAGTGGTAAAGATTTAGAAATATATCTATGATATACTGTAAAACGAAAAGATAAATTTGCAGACAAATATGTATATAGCATAATCCTATTTTTGAGAATGAAAAGTTGTAGGTATGTAACTAGTCCATGTAAGCTTAAGTAAAGAAGGTTAAGTATCAAATAGTGGATAAACACCAGATAGGCATTACCTCTGTGATGTGAAGGAACAGAAAAGGGAAATTAAATTCCTTTGTTACATAACTTAAAAAAATACTGTATGATTTCACTCATATGTGGAATTTAAGAAACAGAACAAATGAACATAGAGATGAAAAAAAAGAGGAAAAGAAAAGAAACATACTCTTAACTATAGAGAACTGATGGTTAACAGAGGGGAGGTTGGTGGGCGATGGGCAAAATAGGTGATAGAGATTAAGGAGGGCACTTGTGATGAGCACTGGATGTTGTATGGAAGTGTTGAATCACTATACTGTACACCTGAACTAATGTTACACTGTATGTTAACTAACTGGAATTTAAATAAAAACTTAAAAAAAAATAAAGTCAGTTCATCCTACCCACTAAAACAATCTATAAATCAGTCCTATTCTGTCACTAATATTAAAAAAGTCACTGCTTGCAAGTTCCTAGCTAATTCACCAGAGGGCTCTCTCACCAAAGATACTTCTGTCATCTCTATGAACAAATTCTGGGCACCTGTAGCCTAAGTCATGGCTTCCTAAATACCTGTGACCTCAAAATCTTGTGATATACACGGATTAATTTCAAAGGATACAACTTTAGAAAAGAAGGAATTTCTTTAAAAGAATATGAATAAGAAATTGATTAGAAAGAATAATACTTACATGTAAACATATTTCGCTGGGTATAGAAGTTATCACATTCAGGTCCCTTTTGAACACTGATATGTTAGCAGGCTGACTCGCAGCCACATTGGACAGGATCTTAGAGCCTGTCTGCTGAAAATTAGGGGACTGTGCAGGACTATCTTGAATTCCACTGTGACTGATGCCTATGACTTCTGGCACTGGACATGAGAGCGTATCTTCAGCAGAGGAAGAAAATGGAGAGTCTATGCTTTGGGTATCCTTCTGACTCTCAGGATAGATGCTAGATATGCTATGCTCCTGATAGAGCAAGTTTCTTAATTTTTCATCCAGAGTTTTAATTCGGTTGTCTGCAAACTCCATTTTTGGAGGTCTTTCCCCATCTGATTCCAAGACAGTGGTGGGTAGAAGGGTAGTCAGTTCAAGGCCAGGGGTCTGAGTGGGAATGACCATCTTAGGAGAACTTGCTTCAGTGTTCATTGTGGTTTCTCCTTCTTGGGAAATCAACTCTGCATCCATAGTTGGCTGTTGCATTGCTAAGGATTGAGGCTTTTGATCAGACATAAATGCCAGAGTTGTAAGAGAGTTACCAGCAATCTGAGTTGACTCGCCAGGAGGGATCGTAAGTACATCAGCCTGACTGGCAGCTTGGTGACATGGATGTACAGGTAGAAGTATGCCTGCTTGGTTGGTGAGTCCCTCACATTCAACTGGAACTGCACGAACTGAAGCAGCAGTATGACTTGAACTACTAGCAACTGATGCCATTATCTGCCTGTCATCTTCCATTTGATAAAATACAGCTGGCTGCTTCGTGTCTACACTGGCATATTCGGAAATCTTACCATCAACTACATCCTTGAGTTCTGATTTGGAGGCAAAAAGTACATTCTGGCTTGGATTATTTTCTAGAGTGAGCAGTGTATCCTGTGATACTTCCTTATTACTTGTGGTTCTTGGACCTAGAACAATAACAAAGAATAGCTAGGCACATATAAATAAATACAAAGCATGGATTAGTACCCAAACTCAAAGGGGACAAGAAGAGTAAGGGACAAACAAGAACCTGTGTGAATAAGTGTTATAAATAAGACTCAAAATACACAGAATCCAACCTGCCAAGGAAAAAAAAAACCCTTATTTTTTCATAAATATTACATTTTAAAACGGCTTAAGTTACACCCAAACAATAGCATCTTCAAAAATGCTTATGAAAATTCTCATAAGAACAAATACCCACAAGATAAAGATATGGTATAAGTTTTGTATCCCCATCCTCCAAGTCTGGATGAAGTTGACAGACAGTGAACACTTACCAGAAAGTAGAGGTAACCCAGGAACTGTAGACATGGACTGCTGAAGAGAAGGAGGAGATTGAGCCTCACGGTTTCTTATTGTTTGATTGATACAGAATCTCCACCGACCAACCGGAGATGACTGAGGAGCAGATTCATCTGTAGAAAGAATTTGCAAAAATTAATAGGCTAAGAAATTGTAAACATGTTTACCCTATTCATTAAGGAAACCAGGTTAAAGCACCAATTTGTGTTGTACCTCCATTTCCAATAGCACTAGGATATGTGCAAATTTTATAAGACCAGACCTCCCAATGCTGGCAAATACTCTAAAGAACTGAGCACAAGATATCTTTAGGGAAGGATTTTAGAATCTACGAAACAAACACTGTATCAATAGGAATTAGAAGTAGGCCACAATTTGGGGGAGAAAATAGAAAATACTTTCTCCAACTGTTCTGATCCTAATTATGATGATGCTTATGCAAATCTATGAGTATTAACATTTATAGAACTGGATCCCAAAAGAAAAAAAAATCAATTTTACTGTATGACAACTTAAAAATAAAGTAAGTCCCTACACCTTTACTCCTACTTTGTAAACTTATTCCAATAAGTAATTCTTTTTTAAACTTTAACCTACTTTATCAGTTAGAAATCTGCTCAAATTCCTCCTAACAAGAGAAAGAACATAGAGGAGGACCCTGGCATCCTAACACAAAGTAAATTTCAGGGTAATGGTATCTGATTTCATGACTCCCACACCACCTGTTGTTCTTCATGTTGTTATAATTCCTTCACAGGTCCTCATTTGTCTATGGCTCTTCGCCCCCTCCCAGATACTCTAAATATAACCATGACCAGAGCTGAAAAGAATGGAGAGATAAAGTCATCAGAAAAGAAAACAGAAGACCCCAGTTTTAGTCCCTGGAAGTTTATCTAGTATCTGATTTACAAAAACTTATCAGTGATCAAAGCAGGTAGAAGCATAACATTAGTGGAAGGAAATCAAGATATAAATGACTATATTAAAAAATGAGGCAAACTTAGAACATAGTGATATTAGTTAAGAAAGGTTCTGTCCATCTCACATCAGTGGTTAAAAAAAAAACTTACCAGTTGATTTAAAACAGTAAAGCCATGAAAGGTCATAAGTTACGTGACTGCTTTTCTGGTAACATACCATGCAGCAACTCAGAAATAAACTAATTGGATAAAGAACCAACATTTGAAGGAAACCTACAGAATGGTTTTACTTTTTACATTGGGGCTAAAAAGTCCTTTCAAAGTGTGGGAAAACCTACATTACCAATATATTAATTTCCTTCATGGCAAACATCTTTCCCAACGAAGATACATGAATTGAAGTTTCCAAATGTCTTGCTTCAAAAGCCACATGGTAAATTTAATTAAATATACTTACTGCTGGTCTGAGTAGATGCAGAATTTATCTGTACTTGTTCAGATGATCCTGTCTGAATTAAAAATGAACAGATAAATAAAGAAGTTCCTGATATATATCTGAGAACACCTATTTGCTAAACAATTGCTCTTACTTGGCTACTGTTGGATTCCACAGTTATAGAGTCAGTTCCGATGACCCTATCTGTAGCAGAGTGGGCATGAAGGATCTCCTGGGCCTGACCTATAATAGCCCTCAATTCTTCTACAAATTTTTCTTTCTCACTGTCCAGCACAAAGTTATCTTCAACCTGTCCAAAAGTAAAAGTAAGTCTTTTAGTTTCCTCAAAATTATAATACTGTATCAACAGTGACTACCTTAAAAAAAATAAAATTAACTATTTAGACACAAATGCCACAAAGAATTAAAAAATGAACAGCACTAAAGTGCCACATAGTACATTAAATTATTCTATTTGGAGACCACTGATGTTTGTCAGATTGATGATACCTACCAGAGAAGAAGCCAGCATTAAAAAATATATATATCTTGCATTCTATAAATTATCATTTGAGGAATGTAACTGAGACAATGTTTATTTTTAAAACTAGGATGTCCAAACCCAAAAGTTCTTAAATCACAAATCACAAAATGAAACATCTCTAAAGATGACAAAGCATGGCCTGGAGACAGTTCATAAAATATTATGTTAAACAAGAGGCAGACTGACAACATTAACTTTTTTTTTTTAATGTGTTTTCTTTATTTCTGAGAGAGAGAGAGACAATGTGAGTGGGGAAGGGTCAGAGAGAGAAGGAGACACAGAATCTGAAACAGGCTCCAGGCTCTGAACTGTCAGCACAGAGCCTAACGAGGGGCTCGAACCCACGAACCGTGAGATGATGACCTGAGCCGGAGTCGGACGCTTAACCGACTGAGCCACCCAGGTGCCCCCAACATTAACTTTTAAAATGTTTAATTCTGGGGGCGCCTGGGTAGCTCAGTCAGTTAAGTGTCCAACTTCAGCTCACGTCATGATCTCACAATTTGTGTGATTGAGCTCTGCGTTGGGCTCTGTGCTGACAGCCCAGAACCTGCAACCTGCTTCAGATTCTGTGTCTCCCTCTCTCTCTGCCTGTCCCCTGCTCACATTCTCTCTCTCTCAAAAAAAAAAAAAAACCTAAAAATAAACAGTTAATTCTGTTTCTATAGGAATATATATATAAAGAAAGTTGGCAGAAAGAAAAGCACTATGTACTCTTCCTGCCACCCTTACCTATTCCCATGAAAATAGGGCAAAACTACTAACTTAAGCCTAACAATTCAAGAAAAAAAAAAGCAAGCAAGCAAGCTAAATGAAATGATGAACATTACTTGACACCTATATGTAAGATGGTGTAGTAGCTAACACATTAGAATTACCTGGAGTATTTTATAAACTACTGATGCTTAGTCCTTAACTCCAAAGATTCTGATTAATTAGGGACCCAGGCAATAGATTTTTTTTAATGTTTATTTATTCTTGAGTGATAGAATATGAGCAGGGGAGGGAAGGGGGGTGCAGACACAATCCGAAGCAGGCTCCAGGTTCTGAGCTAGCTGTCAGCACAGAGCCCGACACAGGGCTCAAACCCACGAACTGTGAGATCATGCCCCGAGCCGAAGTCAGGCGCATAACTGACTGAGCCACCCAGGCGCCCTGGATTTCTTTTTAAAAAGCTCTTAAGGTGATAAGAATCACTGACCTAGATAATCTTTTAATAACCCCCCCTCATATTTTAGAGATAAATATAATGAAATGAAAGAAAGTACAGTGACTTACTCTTGATCATAAGCAATTTAGCTTTGTGCAAATTTTAAAAACTAATCGTACCCTAAAATAAGATAGCTCTGAATAGATGAGGGGAAAGGATGAGGGGAAAAAAAGAGACAGAATGCCAGAGGGAAGGTAATCTGGTTTCATTGTACTTACCATATAATCTGCAATATCTTCTGGTGCATCACCATCAGCATCAAACTTGAAGGTGACCATCTTGTTGTTGTGTGTCTCCAACTGACACTCCACCATGTTGTCTCCAGATGTTGACACCTAGGCACAAGAATTCCACCAATTTAAGGGTCAGTTATTATCTTCTACTTGCAAATGGACCAAGGAATATCAAGATGAGCTTATATACAATATACGGAAAAATAGCTTAAATTGTTGAGATTCTAAGATTGTTTTTCCCTGTTGAAATACTACCTTCACACCCATTCTATGACAAATACAAGAGTTAAATTAGCAAAATAGAAGTTAGAGTTGTGATCCTGTGGAAAAGAAATGTAACTTTTATGAAAACACAAAAAAGTAAGAAGAGTTGCTGTATTTTGCCAAAATGCAAGTTTGTTTAGTCCTTCATTTCTAAAATTCCCTTAATCCCACAAATTGGCACTTTAAGCAATAGAAAACACACTGTAATGGAAATGTATACTGGTTCAACCTTTCTGGATGGCAATCTAGCAACATGCATTTTAAAAATTGTTAAATCTTCACATATTTTCACTAGTTTTATTGATATATTTTTTTTTTACAAATAGTTTATTGTCAAGTGGGTTTCCATATAACACCCAGTGCTCATCCCCACAAGTGCCCTCCTCCATGCCCATCTCCCTCATCCCCACCCCACACCCATCAGTCCTCAGTTTGTTCTCAACATTCAAGAGTCTCTCAGGGTTTGCCTCTCTCCCTCTCCCCCACTATTTCCCTCCTTCGTCTCCCCCTTGTTCCTCAGTTAAGTTCCTCCTAATTCTCCTATACATGCAAACATAGGGTATCTGTCCTTCTCTGCCTGACTTATTACACTCAGCATAACACCCTCAAGGTCCATCCATGTTGCTACACATGGCCAGATTTCATTCTTTCTCATTGCCATGTAGTATTCCATTGTATAGATAAACCATATCTTCTTGATCCATTCGTCCGTTAATGGACACTTAGGCTCTTTACATGTTTTGGCTATTGTTGAGAGTGCTGCTATGAACATTGGGGTCCATGTGCCCTTATGCATCAGCACTCCTGTATCCCTTAGGTAAATTCCTAGCAGTGCTATTGCTGGGTCATAGGGGAGTTCTATTGTTAATTTTTTGAGGAAACTCCACACTGTTTTCCAGAGGGGCTGTACCAGTTTACATTCCCACCAAAAGTGTAGGAGGGTGCCCGTTTCTCCACATCCTCGCCAGCCTCTAGAGTTCTCTGATTTGCTCATTTTAGCCACTCTGACTTGCGTGAGGTGGTATCTCAGTGTTGATTTAATTTAAATTGAAGTATAATTAACATACAGTTATATTAGATTCAGGTGTACAACATACTGGTTTAACAATTCCACACATTACTCAGCACTAACCATGGTAAATGTAGTCACCATCTGTCACCAAACAACGTTATTATACTGTCAGTGACTTTAGTCCCTTTGCTATACATTGCCCCCCACAACAACCTCTCCTCTGCCAACCACTTTTGTTCTCTAATTTTTTTTAAAGTTTATTTACTTATTTTGAGAGAGAGAGAGAGAAAGAGAGAGAGAATCCCAAGCAGGCTCCACACCACCAGTGCAGAGCCTTATGCAGGGCTCGAACTCACGAACTGCAAGATCATGACCTGAGCCAAAGTCAGACGCTTAACCCACTAAGCCACCCAGGATGCCCTGTTCTTTCAGTTTGAATGTTTGATTTTCTGTTTGTCATTTTTTCACCTATTAATTCTACTTCTAGGAATGAATCATTTAAAAAAAAAACAGGGATCTTTATATAGGTCTGTGTTCAAGAGTGTTTACTACAGAGAAAGAGATATGCACAGACATACAGACAAAAGGAGAAAGAAAGACAGAAAGTTAGAAGAAACAGACTGGTACACAGAGACAGACTGATAGAAACAATCTAAATGAGGAATAACAGAAGTAATGATTAAAATATGATATCTCTATACAAGGGACTATCTAAGGCAACAATTTGAAATATTATATTACTGGAGCACCTGAGTGGCTCAGTGAGTTGAGCATCCAACTCTTGACTTCAGCTCAGGTCATAATCCCAGGGTCAAGGGATCAAGCCCCATATAAGGCTCCTAGCTGAGCATGAGCCTACTTAAAATTCTCTCTCTCTCTTCCTCTGCCCCTCTCCCCTGCTCACTTGCTCTCTCTTTAAAATAAGAAAAAAAAGATTTAAATATTATGCTACTGAAAAATTACATAATGACACAGGAAAATGCACTTGATATATCAAGTTTTAAAAAAGGTAGAATATGGGGCACCTGGGTGGCTCAGTCAGTTAAGCATCCAACTCTTGATTTTGGCTCAGGTCATGAACTCACAGTTTGTAGGTTGATCAAGCCCCACATTGGGCTCTGCCCTTACAGCACTAACCCTGCTTGGGATTCTTTCTCTCAACTTCTCTATCTGCCCCTCCCCTGCTTGTGCTCTCTCTCTCTCCTAAATAAACAAATAAATAAATAAGGAGAATACGACTTCTCAAACTATTGCAAAAAATAGAAGAGGAAGGAAAACTTCCAAATTCATTCTATGAAACCAGCATTAAAAACCAGATAAAGACACTACAAAAAAAGAACTATAAGCCACAATCACTGATGAACATAGATGCAAAACTACCCAACGAAATACTACCAAACTGAATCCAATAAGACATTTAAAAAAATCATTCCCCACGATCAAGTGGAAATTTTCCTGGAATGCAAGGTGGCTCAATATTTGCAAATATATCAGTGTGATACATACATCAACATGAGAAAAGATAAGAACCAGATGATCATTTCAATAGATGCAAAAAAGCATATGACATAGCACAACATCCTTTCATGATATAAATCCTCAACAAACTAGGTTTAGAGGGAACATACCTCAACATAGTAAAGGCCATATATGAAAAATCCATAGATAATATCATGTTCAATGGTGAAAAACTGAGAACTATCCCCCCAAGGTCAGGAAAAAGTCAAGGATGTGTATTCTCACCACTTTTATTCAACACAGTTCTGGAAGTCCTAGCCTCAGCCATCAGACACAAAAAGAAATAAAAGGAATCCAAATTGGCAAGAAATAAGTAAAACTTTTGCAATTTGCAGATAACATGATACTCTATGTAAAAAACCTGAAAAACCACCAAAAAACTACTAAAACTGATAAATGAATTTACAAATGTTGCAGGATACAAAATCAATGTATAGAAATCAGGTGCACTTTGGGGCGCCTGGGTGGCTCAGTCAGTTAAGCATCTGACTTCGGCTCAGGTCATAATCTCATGGCTTGTGAGTTCAAGACCTCCCGGTGGGCTCTATGCTGACAACTCAGCCTGGAGTCTGCTTCAAATCCTGTGTCTCCCTCTCTCTCTGCCCTTCCCCACTCATGCTCTCTCTCAAAAATAAACATTAAAAAAAAAAAGAAATCAGTTGCATTTCTTTTTTTTAAAATATTTTTATTTATTTCTAGGAGAGAGAGAGAGAGACAGCGTGAGCAGGGGAGGGTCAGAGAGAGAGGGAGACACAGACTCTGAAATAGGCTCTAGGCTCTGAGCTGGCAGTCAGCACAGAGCCCGACGCGGGGCTCGAACCCATGAACCACGAGATCATGACCTAAGCAAAAGTCGGACGCTTAACCGACTAAGCCACCCAGGCGCCCCAATCAGTTGCATTTCTATACACTAATAATGAATCACCAGAAACAGAAAGTAATCCTATTTACAGTTACACCAAAAATAATAAAATACCTTGGAATAAACTTACCAAATAAAAGATCTGTATTCTGAAAACTGTAAGATGTTGATGAAGAAATTGAAAACAATGCAAACAAATGGAAAGATATTCCATGCTCATGAATTGGAAGAACAAACATTGATAAATGACCATATAACCCAAAGTAATCTATAGATTTAATGTAAACCCCATCAAATCATTTTTTACAGAACTAGAACAAAATATCCTAAAATTTGTACGCAACCACAAAGACCCAGATTTGATAAAACAATTTTCAAAAAGAAAAATAAAGCTAGAGGTATCACAATTCCAGACTTCAAGTTATACCACAAAGCTATCATAATCAAAAGAGTATGGTATTGGCACAAAAACAGACACATACAGATCAACAGAACAGGACTGAAAGCCCAGAAATAAACATCCAGTTATATGGTAAATTAATTTTTGACAAAAGAGGCAAGAACATACAACTGGAAAAAGGCTCTTTGAAAATTAGTGTTGGTAAAACTGGAGAGCTACATGCAAAAGAATGAAACTGGACCACTTTTGTACACTATATACAAAAACAAATGCAAAATGAATGAAAAAGAACTAAATGTGAGACTTGAAACCATAAAAGTCCTACAAGGGATCACAGGCAGTTATTTCTCTGACATTGGCTATACTAATATTGTTCTAGATATGTCCCCCAAGGCAAGGTAAATAAAAGCAGAAATGAGCTACTGGGACTACATCAAAACAAAACGTTTCTACATCAAAATAATACAACAAAGGAAACAAATCAACAAAACTAAAAAACAATGTACTGAATGGGAGAAGACATTTGCAACTGACCTATCCAATAAAATGTTAGTATCCCAAATATATAAAGAATCAACAATAGGCAAACTATGGAGAGAGCCCAAATGTCCATGGACTAATGAACAGTTAAAGAAGATATGGTATATAAGATTAAGAACATACTGAGGGCAGATGGGGGGGGGAGGAAAGTAGGAGATAGGCACGGAGGAAGGCACTTGTTGGGATGAGCACTGGGTGTTATATGGAAACCAACTTGACAATAAACTATAAAAAAAGAAGATATGGTACACACACATATACAAACAGGAATATTACTCATCCATCAAAAAGGATGAAACCTTGCCATTTGTAACAATGTGGATGGAGCTAAAATATATTATGCTAAGCAAAATAAGTCACTCAGAGAAAGACAAATACCATATAATTTCACATATATGTGGAATTTAAAAAACAAAAAAGATGAACATATGGGAAGGGGAGAAAGAGAAGAGAGGGAAATAAATCACAAGAGACTCTTAATAATAGAAAACAAACTATAGGTTGAG